GTTGACTTGCGGAACACAAATTTATTAAGCTATAACAAAATCTGTTATAACCCAAAAATGCCGAATTTAGGTACCGAGATTATCAGAAATTTTATCTAGACAAGTACAACAATGATGAATGTAATGCATACCGTACTTCAGGGCGCATCCGGTGCGTCAACTGCGATGGTGCAGATAGTTAACAGGCCTCCCGGCCGGCTGCGCTCGCTGCGGTCAAGGTAATTCAACAGAAGGACGCACATTTCGGGACAGCAAAGGTTATAATTCTGGCATCGACATTCTAGGCGCACGTGCGCCCTGCACGCTGAACGTCACAAAAACCATAGCAACCAGATCATAAACCATCAGCTTACGTGACGAATTATCCACGCGCGTGTTAGTTGCCATGATAGTCACGCGTCGTGCAGTGATTACAAAGGCATAATGATATTTTGCACTAACATTAGACTGAAATTATATTCTTCATTTCAACATTAATTTTACCAAAATTGTGGTGAATTGTCGTTCACGAGACTCACTTCGCAGAAAAAAATAATAAATGTTCTGTATATACTCAAATGTTCGTTTTCGGCACCTTATGCCAACATTGTCAAAATGACAGATTAATGTTACATAAGAACATGAAATTTTATAAAATTCGTAAATTTTAAACTGCTATAACTTTTCATTTTCTTGGTCAATTTTCACAAATCAAATATATATATATTAGGATATAAAAAGATAATATAAAAATTCGGCTTTATTATATAACCTGATGATTCGATTCAATATCAATTATTCGTCGAGATAGGAAATTATGTAAATGTATCTCAGTGCTGAGACAATTGTCTGAGTCTGATGTAATGATACGGTACATCCTTTAACAATTTAGCCGGCTACGCCCCTCTCAACATCACCGTTTCTCACAGGTGAGATACCTTAACTAATTTCCTATTCTTTTTTTTATGCCCTCTTTGTCAGTTTTTAATGTTCTATTGTAAAATTTAACGGCATAAAACAACCTCAATTTGACAAACAAATCAATCAATGACATTTCAACACCAGGGCTACATAAATTTAATTATCTACCCGATAACTTTAGAGTAGCAATTATCCTACTTACTATTTTCTCACGAATATTATTTAAATGTAAGTAATTATTGAAATATTTAACAAAAACCTTCTCACTTGCAACAATTATATTGTAAAAATTTTCCGTTGGCACAAACAACGATCCAAAATCTCCGTTCTTTGTATCGTATGCTTTGAAATGGGTGAGCAGATGCGATGGTTCCTCCATGTACAATATTTCATTTTTTAAAGTCGTTCTACATACATTGCAATCATGTTTTAACAACATTTTTTTAATTAAATACCCAGCAATATATACAATAGTATTGCTTTCAGCCTGTTCTACACTAACATCAATGTCAACGTTTTCTTCGCTTTCGTCTGCTTCCTGCTGCGGTTGAATTTTAGATTTAGGTTTTTCTATTAATGGTATATCAAGGAATTCATCCTCGTCCGCAGCACAGTTTTGATTGCCTAACGGCACCATCATTTTGCTGCACATTACCTGTTTCAAAGCAGCCCTAAACTCATGGGCCATTGGGTTAAATCTGTGACCTCCCCTCCCTCTAATTATTGAAAACAAATTTTCTAAACAGTCCTGATTCAATCTATTGGTTAACATAAAAGCGAAATTGTGATTATTATTGAGCTCAAAGAATAATTCAATCATGGCTGTTAATGTTACCACCCACCCATTTAAGCATGCGACTTTTGTTGTTGAACCGTCTTTAACCTTAATTTTTTTTATCCAATCTCTTGAATCTTTCCAGAAATTTAAGTGAATTGAATTTGCGCTAGCTGCCGTCCTGTAGATAATTTTGTCAAATATATTTCTTGAATTGCACGAATCAAATATTTGGTCGAATTTGGAAATGAATTCTGCAGTGTGCACAGCTTCTGCAGGGATCTTTCCAAGAGCAGCGTAAGTTAATACACCAGTGGCCACACTGTGACTTAATACCTGGGCCGCAAGGCACACCCTCATGGGTGAAAATGGAGGCAACTCTATGTGTTTGTCGGTTAACTTTGGGGCCATTCTTAAAGGCAATTTCGAGTCATGCCTATAAAATTCGACAACATACTTCCAGTTAATTTCGTTGCCGTCAATCATCAATACGTGGCTCTTAAAATTATTGCGTATACTTTTGAGCAAATGGGGAGGATCGAACATAAAGAAGATCTTGTAATTATCACTCCCATCGCCGAAATTGTAGGTTATATAGGACTTTTCGGCAGTTATGCCTAGCAATGTAAACATACTGCGGTTGTTAGAACCCTTATCTGCTATTACTACCTTTACCATTAAGCCAGTGGCATGTAATCTATTAATAAAATCCATTAACAGAAGTTGTAGTGTGGTACCTGGGGTAGCGCCGGAAGCAAGAAAGTACCCCAATGGCTGCTTCCATTTGGAAGACATTCCGCGGGCCATAAAGACCAGTGCCTGCGTCGCAACTTTTTGTGTTTTTCCCAGGCTCCCGTAGTCTTCTAATCCCTCCATTACATCTTTATGTTGGTCATACGTTAACCCAGCCTTTAGAATCATTTCGTCGATGGTGAGGACACATACTTGGCCGAATGTAGAGCAGCGTAATTTAAGCGATTCAAACGTGGAATTATTGAACCCTGGCTGGATCTCAATTCGCCCTAGCCACTTTTGAAGGTTTTTCTCATGAGGGAGTGCAACGTATCGCCTGCAAAACCTATAAGCTCGAGGGGACTGATAGTGTAGTGCCATTGCAAATTGTCTGTCATCTTTGCTGTAACGTCTGCCCTTAGTCCGTCGCCTACAGTTCTTAAGTTGGCTGGAAAAGGAAGCTAAAGCTTTACCGCTCATATACTTTCTGCACTTTTCAAATACATATTTTTTGGGATCATCTCTTACATATAACTTCTTCATTTTTGTAATCTTTGCCTTCAGCCTTGTGATTTTTGTTTTATTACGTTTATCTCTTGCCATTAATTTCTTGCACTTTCTTGTAATTGCTTCGTGTTCAGATGATGATCCTTAATGAGTAACAAACAGAATTAAAAATGAATATCTGAATTATTTAGTACAAAATGTAAAATGTTAATGCCATTCTTGCACGCTCATTTCCACAGCCTTTTTTTTGTGTTTACGAAGGCAGTATAAATTACATAACTGCCTGTGCATTAAAAAGCAAATAATACAGATTAATTCAACACAAGTTAGAAACTTCCCCCAGACTCTGTCTCTGCCTCAGTTGGACGAATTAGTGAAAGCAGGGTTGCCACTATATTTTCATCTTCCATCTTTAAACTTCACAAGCGAGCACGGCGTCCTAGATTTAGGACGACGGGAAAAACGAGGTGAACACGTTCTCGATTTTGGTAGTGGACGAGGGAGACGACGTAACGCATGCGCAGTGCCTTAAAATGACCCCATCACGTAGCAGTCCACTATGTCGACGTGCAAATCTAAAAGTCCCTACAAAACTAAGTGAATTAATTTTATTACTGAACGGGACCGGTAGCGGCAGGATTTGGCTGATGGGGGTACGATGTCTCCGACGGGGAACAACAATGAAAAACCCCGGAAATTACGAAAATTTCAAAGGCTTATTTAATCGATTTTAGTGTCTTCTACTATATCATAAAAATACATTACTTTTTCTTCCCCGCCCCTCCCCCTCCTCCGATGAATTGTTTTTCTTCTCGACCGGGGATACCGATCGTTTCGGTAGAAAAGTCAGTTTGTAAATAATTTTCAACCACAACAGCCATTGAACAACAAACAGAGGTGGCCGATTAATTTCAGTCCGAAATCCAAGTTAGTGATGAAGAAGATATAGAAACCATACAAATATAGGGTCAATGGC